CTGTATCTAAAGCTGCATTTTTAAAATTATAAACCAGTGTTTACTGTCTTAAAAGTATTATCAATAAGTCATTCAGTCTTATCAAATGTGTAATTTGTAGATCCTTTCATCAATAATTTATCACTTTCTGCTGTTTCCATCAGTGTATTGATATATTCTTGTTTCTTGAGTTCTGTATCTAAAGCTGCATTTTTAAAATTATAAACCAGTGTTTACTGTCTTAAAAGTATTATCAATAAGTCATTCAGTCTTATCAAATGTGTAATTTGTAGATCCTTTCATCAATAATTTATCACTTTCTGCTGTTTCCATCAGTGTATTGATATATTCTTGTTTCTTTGGTACTTCAGTTGATTTCCAATATTTTGCATATAAAATTCTCGCTGTTGTAGTAAAATAAACCATCAAGTATCTAATATTTTTATCAAAATTATTTGGTAGTATACTCAAAAGCAATACTTCTGGTGTAAATGGTATCGCACATCCTATGATTTTTTGAATTATTTCATGGTATTTCATTAGTAATACAACAATGCCACCACATATGGAAAAAGGATCCTATTTTACTTTGACATTTCCAACAAATATTAGAGCATTTACTATTTGATTTTGCTATTCTATCAGGAGTTATGTACCATCTATAGAACATTTTATACATATTTTCTTTATATGTAATAGCTTTTGAAGCATCAACTAGTTTTGTGCTTTGTTTTCATGCCTAACATGCATTTATAAAATTGTACCAATAATAGATAATACTGGAGGGAAAAGAATTAGGAGAACATATTTTCAAGAAAATTCAAGACAGGAGAATTTGTCTGAAAGTGTTCAATTTAATTCGAAGTCATCCAAACAGAGATGATCCCTTCCCAACCCACTTTTAAGTAGGTAGAGTATCTTTGTACCTTCTTAGGGACACTCAGCTTCCAGTCCTCCTGCTACCCTGAGCATCCCATTCAAACAAGTCCACTTCTTCACAGACAAGCATAGTGCTTACCAACTCATGGCTGATGGGCAGGGATAATGAAATGTAATGAAATAAATACAACCCAACAGACAAACGGCTGCCATGCTGACTTACCATTCCCAGGTGGGTGTGCTTTGTGTTAGCAGTTTTAAAGCCAAGTAGCCCCTCACTTAGGATTTTTGTGGGAAAGATGCATAGTTTGGGGCAGAGTACTAATGCTACTTCTGCTCACGTTCTGCTTGCTGGTTCCCAGGCAGCCAATCATTTGGTGAACTGCTCAAATGCATCAGCTGGCTGGCTTTGTAGCATTTTCACATTGTTCCAGGACACAAAGCCAAATGGTGGAACTAGGTGGAGATGAGCTTTGGCCTGTTGTTGATCTGACTTTGCACACACATTTGCTTGCACCTCTTCTAGTTAAGACATTGGGCATCTTCATTCTGGCCTGGCATATGCTAGGGTGGCCAGCTTTGATTGAGGAAATGCCTGGAGATTATGGGGGATGGTACCTGGGGAAGGCGGGGTTTGGGGAGGGGAGGGACTTCAGCAGGGTACAATACAACCTCCAAAGCAGCCATTTCCTCTAGGGGAACTGATCTCTATTGCCTGGAGATCAATTGTAATAGCTAGAGATATCCAGCTGGAGGTTGGCAACCCTAGTATCAGTTGCTATGGACACAGCATAATGCCTCACAAAGCAAATCAGAGACACATCCCCCCCCCAAGGAGAAAAAATACTGAAAAATGAAGGGCATCGTTGCTTTTATTGGTAGGCAGGAGGGTGGAGTTGTCTTTGGTTTGTGTCATAGCTCTTCTATACTATCAGTAGAGGTTGCTGCCCTCACCTCTTGTTAAATATTTTAACAGTCCCCTTATCTCTAAGCTGTCACCTGTTAGGTGTGTGCACTTCCTTGACAATGTAGACAACTTTATGATTCTAAGAAATCAATATACTTCTATGCATATGTAATGTAGGCAGAAGGCCTCACCTGGGATTTAAGGCGTCACCCATTCTGGATAGGGTTGCACTTCCCATGAAGGAATAGGTCCATAGCCTGCTCTTGGACCCAGGACAACCACTGTATAAGCAGATGGAATCTGTGGCCAAGAGTGTCTTTTACCACCTTTGATTGGTTAGCCAGCTACAGTCTTTCCCAGAAGAAAAGACCAGCAGGCCACTGTGGTTCATGCCCTGGTTACATCTAGGTTAGATTATTTTTATTTTTTTTTATTTATTTGCATTTTTACCCCGCCCTCCCTGCGAACGGGCTCAGGGCGGCTTACACAGGGGCATAAGCCCATACATAACACAATATAAAACAGTAAAACCATTAGATCACACAAACAGATAAAGTGCTCCATGCAGACAAGATGGTCTCTGAGGATGGTAGCAATCATTTCCTTAGGTGAATTTGTCCTATCGATGGTCCAAGCCAGTCCAGCAGCATCAGTGCCATGCAAATTTATGGCCGTTCTTCGGGGGGCCGCTCCCAACCCTGTTGTTTCAGTGTTGGTAGTAGTAGAAGTGGCGGCCCCTATATAAAAGCCTGGCAGAAAAGCTCCGTCTTGCAGGCCCTGCGGAACTGCAGAAGGTCCCGCAGGGCCCTGATCTCCTCCGGGAGCTCGTTCCACCAGGTGGGGGCTGCCACTGAAAAAGATCTGGCCCTGGTCACAGCAAGCTTTACCTCCCGGTGGCCTGGAATCTCCAGGCGATGTTGCATCCCCGACCGAAGTGCTCTTGGGGAAAGGTGGTCCCTCAGGTAGGTCGGACCCTGACCATATAGGGCTTTAAAGGTAAGAACCAGCACTTTGAAGCGGATCCGGTACAATATGCTCTACGTGGGGCTGCCCTTGACAGGTGTTTGGAAACTTCAATTGGTTCAGAATGCAGCAGCCAGGATGTTGACGGAAGTGGCCCATCAACACTGGCTTCCAATTTGTTTCTGGGCACAATTCAAGGTTCTGGTTTTGACCTTCAAAACCCTATATGTTTTGGGACCAACATACCTGAAGGAGCACCTAATCCTTTTTGAACCTGCTTGATCATTACAGTCATCTTCAGAGGCCCTGCTTCAGATGCCCCTGCCTCTGGTAACCTGGAAAAGGGCCTTCTTGGTCATTGCACCAAAGCTCTGGAACTCTCTCTCCAGGGACACTTGTCTTCCTCTTCTGCTGCCATCTTCTACCAGCAGGTGAAGATTTTTCATTTCATTCAGCATTCCCTCAATGGCCCCTCTTTCCTTACCAATATTTGTATGTTTTATATGCTTTTTAACTATGTTTTAAACAACTCTTTAAAGTAAAGGTTCCCTTGCTCGAAAGCCAGTCGAATCCGACTCTAGGGTTTCAAAATGCCCGAAGAGCCAGCACTGTCCGAAGACATTTCCGTGGTCATGTGGCCGGCATGACTAAACACCAAGGTGCACGGAACGCTGTTACCTTCCCACGGAAGTGTTACCTATTTATCTACTTGCAATTTCTTGCTTTTGAACTGCTAGGTTGGCAGGAGCTGGAACTAGAGATGGGCGCTCACTCCGTCATGCGGCACTCAGGTCTTGAACTGCTGAACTACCGACCTTCCACAGCCTGCAGTTCAGCGTCTTAACCACTTGAGCCACCACAGCTCCTTAAACAATTCTTCAAATTTGTTCAATCTATATATCAATGGCAAAATCTAAGGATACTTAAATTAGGTGACTGGAACTGTGAACAGGCAAGACAGAACTTTCTACAAACCTAAGAAAGGCCCCAGATTTGCAGAAAAATATAAAATCCTTTAAAAATACAAGGGAGGGGGAGGAGCGTCTGTGACTGTAAGCAACAGATTTCCTCAGTGGTGGCTGCTAGGTAACCACAGATTCCAGACTTGGTGCTGTCAGTAAAAGGCAGGGCCCTTTCCAGGCCTGTTTTGCCTAGGGTTGTCAGACCCCCAGTCTGGGTAGGAGTTCCCCTGATTTTTGGGGCTTCTGCCTGCCACCTGCCAGCTGGTCGGTGGGGGAAGCCCTGCCCACAAATAGGGACAGTGCATGGTGATGTCCACAACATGTTGACATCAATTCCGTGTAATGTCATGGCATCAGGGAATCAAGCGACATCGCTACCCACCCCCAGAATGTCCCCCAAATCCCCTCCGCCAGCAAGCTCAGGGACCTGGCAACCCTAGTTTTGGCCTTTGAGGGAGGACTCATCAGGACCAGGCCTGGCTGGGGTTGCCAGCTTCCGGTTGGGAAGTTCCTGGATATTTTGTGATGGAGTCTGAGGATGGCAGGGTTTGGGGAGGGGAGAGGCCTCAGCTGGATATAATGCCATATAGTGCAGCCTCTAAAACAGCCACTTGCTCCAGTTGTAATTGTGTTGTTCAGTTGTAATTCTGGTACATTTCCAGGTCCCACCTGGTCATTGGCAACCTTAAGGCTGGCAGCAGCCTCCAGGTGATTTGAAACCACCAGACTTGCATGACTCAACTAGGCCTGGCTACTTGCTACTGTTTAGCAGCAGACACCCTGTCATAGGCTCTAGGGAGTCCCCCCCGCTATTTAACAGGTAGGACTTGGGAACCCTACCTGCATTTCCCAGGCCCCCTTTGGACCCTGTATTGGTTAGCAGGGGATTTGGAGGGAAATCTTGCACCAGTAGAGGAGTAGGGGGTGGTGCCTGGGAAGAAGGAATAAAAAGCCTCGCCCAAAGTGGGGGGGTGTTTACTCCTAGGGAGCAGAGCCAAGGAGAGGCTGCTGCAGAAAGAGGGATTCCTCATCCAGGAAGGGGTAAGTCAGCTTGAAGCCAATCACCAAGAGACATCATCTAGGGACAGTCTAGACAGAAGCTGTCATGATCTGTGTAGGACTAGGAGACAAGGCCTAGTGAGACCTAGGCCAAGGAGATTTGTGTGGGAGTGGAAAGCAGACACAGCCTACAACCCCCACAATGCTTGGTGCCGGTTGTAACCAATTGGTGTCCAGGGATTGTATGAGGTGATTGTTACTTAAACTTAGTGGGCTTTGGAACTGCGTTCTTTTCTCTCACAGAGTTAAGCTGAGAGAACAGTCTGGTCTGAGAGAAAGATCCCTCAATTGGGACAGAGTGAGTACAGGCACAGGCCTGGTATATAAGGCTGTGGGCCTTGAATAATAACCAGTTAAGAGAAATGGGTAGCCGCGTTAGATTTGTTTTATTTACCTTTAGACACTGTTATATTAAGCACCTTGTCTTGTTTTCCTTGCCCTATTACTGTATTAATAAACCATTTTAATGTTCTCTGCCGGGTCATCACGCCTATATTTCTCGGCTTAAAAGGGGGATTTTTGGCTGGGCTTGGGAGGGTACTCTGGGTCTTTCCAAGGGACCCTAAGTCCAGAGTGGTGGCAGAGGAAGGTGGCAACCCATGGGTAGCATGACAGAAGCATTAGGGTTCTTTTATTTGTTTGCATACCTACATTTACTGTTCTCATTATTCTACAAATTATTTGAAAACCAGTTGTTATTAGACCTCTTAAATAAAATTGTTTATTATTCTGCCTCAGTCCTTACGCCTCATTTGGCCACATATAAAGTACACCTTACTGGAAAAGAGGGGATAAGGGGTTGGGTGGGTACTCTGGGCCCTCCCCAGGAGACCCAGACCAGTCACATACTTCTAGCCTGATCTGCCTCACAGGGCTGTTGTGAGGCTAAAAAGAGCAGAGTAATGTAAACTGCTTTGCCCCTTCCCCTGTGAATAAAGGTGGGATGTAAATGAGGTAAATAAATAATAAATATAGCTGAAGATGGGAGGTAGATAAAAGGTAGGTTGGTGAATGGCTATGAAGGAGACAAGGTGTAAGGAAAGGGCAGAGGATATGGGGGGGGGGGTTGCCAGGGTTTTTGGAAAGAGGAAGTACGGGTAGGTGGATACAGGGGGAAATGAGGTACCACTCCCACAAGTCCTTGAGGGTTCCCTACCATACCAGTGGGCCTGCCTCTGTGGCTGGCACCACACAACTGGGCCACAGTTTTCCTAGGTAGAGGCTGCTAGGGGGAAGTTTAAGATAAAGGAGCAAATAAATGCAGGTTAGCTGTTTGGTGGGAAGGAAACTCCAGGTTAGGCAATTCCTAGATATTTGGGGCGTGGAGCCTGGGGAGGGTATGGTTTAAGGAGGGAAGGGACCTTGGAAGGGTATAATGCCATAGATTCCATTCCAAAGCAGCCATTTCCTCCAGGGAACTAGGGCTGCCAACCTCTAGGTGGGGGCTAGAGATCTCCTGGAATTGAAACTGATCTCCAGATGACAGTGATCTGTTCCTCTGAAGAAAATGGCTGGTTTGGAGGGTGGGCTCTATGGGATTATGCCCTCCTAAGGCTGCTTCCATCCCCAAAACTTGCCATCCCAAGGCTCTACCCCAAAATCTCCAGGAATTTCCCAACTTGGAGCTGGCAGCCCTAAGGGGAATAGCTGTCGGTAGTTGGGAGATCTGTTGTGATTCCAGGAGAACTCCAGGCTCCACCTGGAGGCTGGAATCTCTAGAAGAAGAAAATGAAGCAGAGAAAGGAGAGATGCTATGGGGGCTTTCAGGGAAGGAGAAGAGGAAAGAATGGGGAACAGTAGGGAAGTAAACAAAAGTTGTCGTATCAGAGTAGTAGAGAAATGTATCCTGTTTGCTATGTTACTGTGGACAAGAATACATGGGTCTTTCAAATAATTCTCAGTAGCAAAAGATACTGCGTCTCTCCACACTCCCAATTTTTATCTATTCAGTCTTCTTACATGCTGAAGCTGACCAG